AAGGTGTCCCCGCTTGGAAGTGGGAAGCTGAGCGGGCCGACTGCGCTGCAGCCCATGGACATGGGGCCCCACATGCCTCCTGACCCCGCTCTCCATGGCCATCTCGAGGAGGTGGCCTCCTGGGGCCAGCAGCACCACGTACGTGCACAGAACCGAGGCTAGAGAAAGCCCGTTTCCGAGCGCCAAGCCACGCATCCGAACTTCAGCGCCCCACTGCAGCTGCTGTAGGTGCTTCGGCCTTGCGAGGTGTCCCAGCAGTGGCAGGAGAAGAGCTTTAAACCTCTTTAAAATGCAATTTGCTGCAAAACAGCATAAAATGCACCAGTAGCCATGAATGCTGCTGCTTGCGAGCAGACCTAGGAGCCAAATCCCTGCTCTCAGCATCTTTAAAATCAATGGGATAAAAAAACCCTGCAAAAGTCTCTTTCGTCCAAAGACATCCAGCCACTCCACTCTCCCTCCAAGCCCTAGGGGCTCTCCTTGTCATATCCAAAAGATTTTACTCTGCAAGCATCATTTCCTTCAATATTTGCCCGTTCTCAGCTGCCGGCCACGATATCCTGCAGGACAACACAACCGTGACAGGGATAGGTCAGTATCCCTGGTCCCACATGACAACCCAGGACAGCCCCCAGCACCCCCAAAGGAGGCAGCATGAGGGATCAGGCAATAAAAATAACCTAAAAATAACCATGCTCACCCCTGCATGCTCTTCAGGACAGGGCACTGCCTTGCAAGGGAGATTATATTTTTATATATATATAAACATATATATATATATGTATGTATTTTTAAATTCCTTCCAAACCTCTTGAAGAGGCCAACAGCAGCCCAAGGGCAACACAAAAGCCTGAAGCAGGAATTCCCAATCCCACCTTGCTGCCTGGCTGGAGCATCTCATTCCCCAGAGCACTGGATAAAACAGGTAGATGCAGCACTTGCCATCAAAGCGCAATTCCACAACCAAATATTACAAACTGGGAGAACTAGAAAACAGCTTATAGGGCAGCCAAAAAGCCCCCAGGCCTGAGTGTCCACAGGGACAGGCTGGGCCGTGCTTGAGGTACACTCACGGAGCCGCTTTGGGTGCTCAGTGTCACTCTGCTACCAACAATCTCTATTTCCAGCGCCAGGCTGTGCTCACCAACCTCCCTGCAGGCCTTTAAGTCCTTTGGGCTCCCCTGGAAGCCCAAGACAAACCCCCACATGAGGAAGGGAGCTCCCGTTCCCAGCCCTTCCCAAGCAAACCATCCCCGGGCTGCTGCTCCGTGCCTGGGGCTTCGCAGCACCAGGAGGAGACCCAGAACAAGGAGCTGCTAATGAAGTGCCTGGAGGGCCCCGCTGCTTTATTTAGCCTTGCGAGGCGGGCGCTCATCAGCGCTGGCAGCCGCATCCCGCTGCGATCCCACCGCCCCCGGAAAGCTCTGTGCCAGGAGAGTCCCATCCCGCACGAGTCCAGAAACACAGGCTGGCTAGGGAGGGTCCACAAGGGAAAGACGGGGAGGTGGGTACCTCCAAAGCACCTGCCGTGCTGGAATGAGAGCACTGGGACACCTAGAGAGGAGGCCAAGCACAGCGTTACTTGCGACGGGGAGAGATGCTTGGAGCCACAGAGGCAGCTGGCCTGGGTGCGCAGGGCTACCGAGCACCACATATAAGCGGGGGTGAGGAAGCAGCCCGAGATGCTCAACAGGCAAAACCTTATTCCAGGACCCAAAGGGCTGGACAGGGATCAAAAGCTCATTATTTCCACCCCTGCGCTATGGAAGTCAAGGAAAATCCTGCACTTTCTCCATCACCATCCACATGCCAAGGAGTGCTCAGAGGCACCCGTGCTGCCTGCTAGCACCAACGGCAAGAGCTACATTGTCAGGACAAGAGCCAGGAGAGCTGGAGCTGCTGAAACCCTCCTGCTCGTCTGAACTGCCATGGAGCAGCCGATGCTCCGCGAGCTGCCATGGCGCCGCGCCTGGCTTCCCGCCAGGAAGGAGACGCCGCTCACGCGCTCCGAAGCACCACAGGGAAGGGGCCAAGGAGCAGCAGCACCTCTCGGAAGCTGCGCAGCGACGGGAGGTGTCGCAGGCACCCCCTCAGCTCCAGCAGCTAGAGAACCTTCACACACACCCGCACGAAGGTGGCTGAGCCGGCCCTGCGCACGCGGCTCCTCCATGGAAATGTTCACGGAAAAGTCACTCCGCTTTTCCACGCCAGCAGCGCAGCAGGCAGCTGCATGCCCTCAGCCAGCGCTGCACCGTCTCGAGACTGCAGGGAACCAGGGTCACCTCGGTGGGGCTCCAGGACCTGTGTTTTGTGCTCCTAAAGCTCACGTGTGTTTTGCTACCACGGGACCTCACACAGCAGCTCCCAGCAATGGGCAAAGCAGCTTCCT